AAAAAAGTGACCTTGACCTTGAAATGACCTTGAAAACTGACCTCAAGGTCATTAGCACAAGTAGATGACTGTCCTCGACAACTTTTATCCGAACATTTTTTTCGTAGGTTGCGTAGTTTCGGAAATATCTCCGCTTGTCGATTAAAATGGGTCACCGTGTATGAAAAAAAAAAAATGATGTCATGAGAGAGAAAACAAATGCTGCGACAGTCATGGAAGATCGATACTATTATATGACTCACTGAATTACGTATAAAGAGTATATTACGTGTAAAGTTACATACAAAGTAATTAATTGCGCTTGAAAAATCGATTGTACGGCCAATAGAGAACTGATGAAATGAAGGATGTCTCGAATTACATTTATTTATTAGCGTATCTTTGGGTAATTAAAACATCGTGACAATTTTATGCGATATTTACCGTCCAAAACATTTTTTCTCCTCGAAACTTAAAAAAAAAACGGACACTCCTCTTGCCACAATACGATTGTGGGTGGAATGGATAATATTCAACGAACGGATGATAATAAATTTCGAGTGAAGTCGCGATTCTTCGAGTTGCAGTGCCGAGGTCATTCGACGATCGCGCCGGACAATTTTATTACCGTGTAATAATGTATACGTGAAACGATCGGACGAACGATAATACAATAAATTGCACAATACGATACTTAAAAGGTAACTATCGCATTTTCCTTATGTAACTGCAAGAGAACAGCTTTCATCGCGACGGCCGATCAGGTTCTTCACGCTCACAAACGCGGTATTCAACACGTTGTTCCGTATCCTGCGAGAAATTCAAATTGGACGATTAATAGGTTGAACTCGCTTAAAGGATTGAATGCTGGGAGGAAATCAAGTTGGCGAGATACTGTTTCCGATGCGTGTTCACAAACTCGACGTCCTTGCCGGACAGATAATCCCTCTGAATCTCGCAGGTCAGTCTGGCGACGCATCTCGGGGAGACGATCAGTCGGAGCCATTTTTCTGTATCTAATCGCAAGAGAAGGAGAATTTTAGTGAAGAGTGGAGAACATTTAAACGTCTTGAGATGTCATAAAGATCTCTGAGACGTCTTCTTTCAGACATACGTGTTAGAATCCTCTGCACACAGAAAAAAAAATATATATATACTATATTCAATATATACTATATTCAAGCGAAGATTATTAAGTGTTTATTACGTTTCTTCTATAAACTCTTTGTAATATTCTTGAGAAGGGAAAAAATTCTTCTTTTGAGTAAATGATAATGAGCTTTTCTAATATTTGCCGAGTATGTTTTAATATTATTATCAAAATAATATTCTTTATTCAAGGTAATCATTACTTTTAAAAGGAGAAGAATAATTGCTCCTCTTCGCAGTAAAATAATACTTTGTGTACGCGTCAAACAATAACGTCGCGAACACACATATACCTTAGCTAAATCATCTTTCAACACGATGTAATCCATTCGGGATGAGAAGCTCTCCAACCGCTTCCTCCTTCCCGCCACGATCGGCAGAAGCACCGAAGCTAACGCCGCCGCTACGCCGATCGGCTAGAGCTTTCAAAGCTACAGCCTTAAAAATAAATTAACTAATTAAACAATTAATTACGAACAAATTAATTGCCGCATCGTTCAATATAAATGTTGTCCTGAATACAGATATATTTCATTAAACGTGTGTGAGATACGACTCCCTCCGTTAAGGTCGCTCGTTATTTTCGCTACTGAGAGAAAATGCATAATTGCAATTCATTGCAACGAAGCGCTCGTTAAACAATCAGTAATGGATCAATAATTGATCTAGCCGAAATCTAGAAATACTCATTATTTTAATTCTTAAATTATGTATCGCGTCACCTTTGAATATTATTCCCGGGAGGCTGCGGCGCATTACCATCCCGAACTCGTCGGCCAACGTTTCCGAAATCCCATAACCGCCGCTGCCACCCGTTAGCACCGTAGCTCAAAGTATTGGGTTTGCTCTCACTCCCGTACACCGGTCGTACCTTGCGTCGCAGTCGGTGAAAGACACGTCGGTTGAAATGTGAAATTTACGCACGAGAAATGTACGAACTCGAGAAATTATACACAGGCAGCCGAAACTTGCGAAAGATGTCTTTAGGAAGGTAAACTATTTTGAAAAACTTCAAAGTGGCATCAACGAACGGATGAATAAGACGTGAGAGAAATCGGTGAAATACTAAAAAGCCGCGCGATGGAGTTCGGCAAGATTTACCTGTCATTTGACTGGCTTCCCGCTCCGGCGTAACTTCCGCCGCCTCCTGAAGGTCTACTGCCGCTGTTCGCGGTGGAGCCCGAGCTTCCCATCCGAAGTTAAATTACGCCTAGATCCGGAAACACCCGGTATTCCAAAGTGAATCTACGCGCATTGGCTAGTCGGCGAACTACTCATTTGTCGATGGGTTGTCGTATGCAGAAGGATATCGTCCACGGAAATTTTGTTGTAATTATAGTCGGGTCGCGCGAATCTACGTAGGAAAAATATTAGTATCAATTTAAGATTCATATCTTCACATATAAACGAGGATATAAAATCTTTTTATGTATAAAAAACTTTCCCTTACATAAAGAAATATTCTGTATAGAGTTTCGTTAAAAATATATTCATGTTATTCGAGAATATATTTTTTTAAATATATTTTATAATATTTTATTTTAGCGGAACACGTTGTGCAGAACTTCTTCATGTATAAGAACAATTTTTATCTTCATATAAGATATTCTTGCTTATATATGAGAACATGAATTGATATTAATCTATTTTCCGCTAAGAAAGAGATTCGCTACTATCCAAACGGCGCGTCTAAAAAACAAGACGTCTAGATATTTCTTACAACGTCTGAATTACAGTCAATTATAGTTAGAAAAACAGATTCCCGACGCGGTGTTTTCTGTCGCGTTTTTTAAATTTTAGAGCACAGAGATTCGAAGGAAAAAACCTGCGATCAGATCGGGACTTATCTCTAGTATCGCGATGCACGACGGCTTCTTGTCCGTTTTCTTCAGCTCCTTCTCGTCGAAGATCAGTTGCGACGAGTGCGGGCGACATTCGCCAGAAATCGATCTTCCGGCGAGTATTTCCTCAAGGGTTCGGTCGTAGTCTGGAATTCGGTTTTCTCCGCCAACAAATACCCAGCACAATGGAGGACAGGATCGTCACAGTGGGCGAATGAGAATTCCTCACGCACCTCCCGACCGTGCTCGAAATGCCGAGTTATGCGAATCAATTCCCGACGTCGTCGTGTAATTCGACGACCGTCAGCTGTGAAGATGACACGAAATTTCCCAAGTTTCATCTATTATATGGCGGTCATGCATGCTAAGGCACAGGGGCGAAGCGCTTCTTTGTAGCGGAAAAAAAAATTACTCCCATCTTCCTCTCTCAGCAAAGCTCTTCTGTTCCGACTTTCGTATTTAAGTACATGATTACGCCGGAAACACGGAGGAAACAAATTTTGCTAAAACAGCGTTTCCTTCGTGAACGAGCGATTATACATTTCGTCCTATTGTCCTTGAGGGAGGATGACCAATCATCAGCGATCGGCGTGTTAATTAATTTTCACAGTTGCATCCCTGCAGGTGTGACCAGGTAGCGGCGCGCGCTAGCGAAAATAAAAGTGTCACGAGCGAGTCAAGAATCGTCACGCCAGCGTATTAATTAAGATTTCCCATCGTTACTGTTTTCGTCATTTGCTTACGAAATTCGACGAGTCTACCGCGACGGTATTACGCCGACGATTTTCGTTATTGTCCACTCCCCTCGCATCCCTGTGTTTCTTCAAAAAATTCACGTGATCCGCGAGACTTTCTCCCCTATAATTAATGTGCAATTAATTCTATTTTCGCGGAAGATCGAGCGCTTTTTCTTTCATTTTCTCTACTTTCGCGCCCACCCCGGCTTGTGGTTTTTCTGCCAGTGGAGCGGACACGTAATCTTTTATTTTCGTTTCATATGTGGCGAATATTGATTTTAAATATATAAATTACTGCAGATGAATATAGATATCCTCTACTAAGCGCGTAATATTATTTAATATTAAGTAATACTTTTGGAATATAGATTGATAAATGATTATATGTTCATCCTTAATAATATTTAAAAAATAACATTTATTTAATGTTATTGTAATATTATTAAATATTCAACTTTATGTATATTTTTTCTACATTATTATTATTTCATTTTTTTTATATTCTAAAAACATTTTTATAACATGCCGAGAATATTATGTGAAGTCAATATAAAACATCGATAAAATATTCCTATAATACTAAGAAATATTACATAACACTTTTATAATAAGAATATTATTTTAATATTTAATAATGTTCGTATATAATATTCTAGGAATGTTATGCGCTTATAGGATATAACCTGCTGGGAAATGAGATTCGCAAAGAACGAATTTTCACAGGACGATCGCACAATCAACAGGTTTTCGAGAGAAATTTTGCCAAATTGCTTACTAATTTTCCACTTTTTCGTCTCGCCTGGTCGTTCACTGTGTAACCAACGACCGAAATATGTGACAAAACCATTCAATGCTGCCTCCATTCTTATTGCTACGAAAGTTTTAACGGCGAAGAAGACCTCGTGTCGAAATGTCGGGGTATCAATGACGTTAGTCGAGAATACTGCTATCGTTTCACAGTCCTTAGTCTTTAAAATATTAATTACATAATTCTCAATTAAGAAGTATAGCCCGTACGAGCAAACGCTAGTTAAAATGCGCAAAATTGATAAGCAACCGTAAAGTTAATAGAAATACATTATTTTATTTAATACATTTCTAATAACCGTATTATTAATTTCGCATCTTTTTAGCTATTTTTATATAACTATTACGTAAAATTATATAAAATAATTATACAAGCTGAATTACATTGAATGTATGTATTTGTACATCTGTAAAAAATATATATACCTCTGTATCTTGCGATATACTTCATATTTGCGATGCGTTTTTTGCGCAATAAATCCGTCAGCACTGTTTACGACGCTTTGTTGTTCTTTATTGTAATGCGCCAACTTGATGATGAGAATATACAGCATATCACGTTACCTGCAAAACTTGAGCTTTCATTAGGTAAGTAATAAATACAATTTACAACGAGTTGTATTTTGCAAAATAAATCCCGTCGTAGATTTATTCGCCATCTTTCACTGCGCTAACGGACATCTCAGCAACTGTTGGCGCCATCTAGCGTGACATTAATCGGGTCGGTATAAAAGGTAACTAAGGCTGTCGATCAGTTCCAATCGAGCCGTTCCCGTGTTCTGTGATTGGACGAATGGAACGAATTCGGGGGAAAATCGCGAGTCATCGCTTGCTCGTGTCTACGAGACAGCCAATCGGCGCGTTCGGCAAACAGCGTAGAAATTTTTGAAATTTCCTCGCTCAATCAGCTCACGGCGTCCGTTACGCGCGTTAGAGCGATATTTTTGGTTCATGGGTGACTGTCCGTCCTACGTGTCGAGTATCTCAATTGTCTACAAGTGAGGTAAGATGCTCCCTTGTCAGTATTGTTCGGTAGATCGCACGTGAGAAGCACCGAAACTTTGACGGTGCGATCTACGCACGTCGTTCGACGTTGGTTCATTGTTTTTGTACTTGTGCAGGGAGATAACGTTAGAGGCCGGAGACATTAGCGAATCGTTCTTTGTAAAGAGTAGGTCACAGTCGCACGTACGGCAGGGACTCGCTCTCACCAAATCTCATCATCGTCGATCCATAAAATCGGTAATTAATCGTTTCGACAATCTCGAATTCGTCGGTCGCGTCCTTCCTTTTTTTTTTGCATCCTCGCCTCACACTAACAACGACTTGTACTGTGAGTTTGCTCAGTTGCACCGTCTCTTGGAGTGTTTTTGAGAAGGATATGTATAAGAAATGTTTTTCCGTAGGAGAATCGCAGGAAAGTTTTCCGTGATTTTTCGTGCCGAAATAACAGCACAGCCGAGTTGCAGTTGAGTGTTGGAACAGAGAGGTATCTGGTCTGATTATCTGGTGTATGTGTTTTGTGGTAGGTATATGATGGATTTGGCGGCTAATGGTTTAGAAAAAACCTCTGCTAAAGTAAGGCGAGAGGCGATGATTAGCAAACTACAGAACATGCAATGGCTGAAAAATACGTCCCATCCGGCAAGCATACGTCCCTTCCTTAATTTCTTTGCCTTAATTAATTTTCATCGCTTATTTCTCACTATGTATATCGTATATATTATACATATTTATATTTTATTGAATATATGTGAAGCTCTAGATACATAAAAATACACTTATTTTTGTTGCGTGTATATATAGGATATTTCAGAATTGTTGTATACGGCTACATAAATATTAGGGCTCCTACATTTTATAAAATGTAGAATATTAAAGAAATCTAAAGAAAATTAAGAAATAGAAATTCAGAGGTACAAAAGGAGATGATAAAGTCTTGTTTTTCACCCATGTTATAAATTATGAATCCAGAAATTTTTGTCACAGAGAATTTAGCATGGGCTCTGGAATAACCTGTATTTATAATTTCTATTGTAATTTATATCATAATATTTAATTTATGTAAATTTTTGTCGGTGAATGGATGGATATATTTTGTAATATTGTTCTCACATGTTATATCTGATATTTTATATCAATGATATGTTGTTTTATATTAATAATGTTGCATAATTATAGTGTGAGAGTAAAAACTCACTGTAAGCCAAGAAGAGGTCATGAAGAGGATAACAAAGGTAGAAGGTAAGATTCCTGCGATGGAAGATAGCAACGCTAATTCAGCTGAAGAGACCCGTGAATACTATTTAACAGTGAATATACATATGAGAGATTTATCTAGCGACTCGATGGCTAAAAGTGACAGAAATTTACAGGATAAAAATATGAATAAATCTAACATATTTCCAAATGCTCACGTATCGGTTATGCAAAAGGCAGAAGAAGAAGAATCAAGCATGGCTATTCAAGAAAATCTTGCAACAGTACAGTTGGAAAATCAATGCCATGTAGATAAGGAACGGAAAGATCAAGGAAATATGTCGCAAAATGCCCTTGAAGACAAGACACAGTAAGCAGAAAAAAACGTTAACTTCTTCAAAAGTAACGTGCCAATTAAAAATAATATGTATATTGTTTCATTACTTTTTATATTTATATAATAAATTAGGAATGTCACATGTTCGAAATTTCCGGAGTCGCAAGATCATGATGCGAAAGAATTGGATTTAACAAATGATTCTGGTAAAAATAATAATGCCAAACTCACTACATTAGATGTGTCAAAAGCAATTACATCGGAATCATCGGGAAACGATAAGGCATCGGTGGAACCGAAGGATAAAGGTAAATTGATTTGCATCGACATGCAAATTAAAAAACGAAAAGATAGATTTTTTATACTCTTTCTTTTTCCCAGACGCGTGTATGAAGAAGACCCTCACTTCGTTGAGAACAAACATCAAGAACGCAAGTACAACAAGTTTATCTAAATGTTGCAACGACAAACCTTCCACCCTTTTCACCAATTCTAAGAGATCGTTTTCCAATCTATCGAAATCGCCGATCACCGATAAGAGCGGAAGAGGCGAACGTGCCAGCGGCAAGCGTGTATTCAGAAAGAAGACTTGCCCAAAGGATGAATTTGTAAGACAACACGGTGCAACGAAAGGAATGGAAAATAAAACAAAGGATACCGCTGCAGGTCTGCCGAAGGCAGATGAGAAGGTACCGAATAAAACAGCAGATACAAGCCAGAACGATCAGAAAGCGCAGAGTTCATCCTGTCCCGCCTCTTCAAATAAGGACAAAATATCGCAGGTTCAACAACGAATAACTACAAGACAGTTCACGCCGAAGAGCAAAGGGCAGAAGTCCTCGAGAGGTAACGCATCGATTGACCGCGGTGTCGATAAAAATAAGGCCCCAGATAGAACGGAGAAAGCGGTGCCTGCGTGCAGGAACTCCGACTCGCCTAAGCGCGAGAGGAGGAGCGGCGAGAAAAATCCTCCGAGCGATCCGAAGCCCTATGTCGCCACCAGGAACACCACGTTTGTCGCGCCATACAAAAACTCAACATTGTGGAGGCGACCTGCGAAGACCAAGAGCGTCGCTCCAGTTTGCGGGAGAAACCCGTTGTACGCACGACGTAGCAACGCAACACCCGAGCGCGCCGGTACCGTCGGGAAGATGAATCGAGACTGCCCGCCGGTCGACGTATCTCCCAGCTTGGACACGAGGGCCGAAGAGCCGAGCAATTTCGAGTCTGACGTGAAGCAGCAACGCGAGAGAGACGGTTATGAGCCGGCCAAGTCGCCCGACGCGTCGATTCTCAACATCGACGATAACGGAAATTCCACAGGAGACAAGAAGCCAGCGGCGAGTGTTGAGGATCACGCGAGACACGTGGCGTCGGGAGAAAGCTGTCCGAACGAAAAGGCGCTCGACAGAACCGATCCGACAGACGTGGACGACGAAGGGATGAAGCCGTCGAAGGACTCGTTGACCAAGAGCTACGCAGGATCGCCGATGAGCCAGCAGCATATATACAAGCCGGAGGACACCCAGCAGCAGACGCAGATGAGAAGTCGGCCGGTCATCTGGAACAAGCCGTCCGAGGAGCGCGACGAGCGTGCAGCGATTTTACGAGCAGCAGTGTCCGCCGATGAGCGACACGCGGCTGCCGCAGAACACCTTCGACCACGTGGCGCAGCCATCGACCGGCGACGCCGTCACCATGTTCGACGCGATAAACGGCAATGGAGAGAGAGCTCGCAGAGGCCCTTCACGCCGGGCCAGCCGGCGAGTCAGATCGGTAGATGGAACTTCCCGGTGCAGGACGGCTTCCACACCGTGCCGCCCAACGTGGCCGACCAGTCGAACAGTTACAACGACCAGCTGCCGGCCAACGTGCGCACGAACCCGAGCTACGTGAAGGGTATGTATGAGCCGGGGAACACCGACGACGCGAGGTCCAATCGCTACTACAACAAAAGGTACAACTGCCCGCGTACAACTGCCTACGACGTTCCCCAGTACGCGACGCCGCATCCGCCGGTCTCACCAGCCCAGCAGCAGTCTTTCGCGGCTATGAATCAGTACAACGTCTTCGGAGGCCAGAGGTATTACAAGCAGAACGCGATGAACTACGCGCAGTCACGTCCCAAGAAGACGCAGGACCGTGAGGACGGCAGTCTGGAGGACGCCCTGCCTATCATATTGCCGAAGGAGTTCATGACGAACAGCGTTAACATCCCAAACAAGACCGACCAGCTCCCGCCGCGTATGTTTATGCAAGACTTGAGAATGAGATTCAGAATGAGGCAGAACACGGGATACCGCCAGTCACCGTTCCAGAGCGGCGGCTTCCGCGAGAACGTACCGTGCGATGACTTCCCGAAGGAGTACCACGCGTCCTTCGTCGGCCGCCGCATCGTCAAGACCATCCAGATCACGTAAGTTGTCGCGACGTGTAAAGCGGGGTGTCTACGATGAGAATTCAAGGCTGAAGTAAAAGTTGACCAATCACAGTTGAATCATAGGAGAAAAGCCAGTCACGATTGGTCGGTTTCTTAAATCCTCGTTGTAGACTTCGCTCAAGTCCCGGTTTGTGATAGGTATTCTAAGAAATCGATCAATCACAGTTAATTATTCTCTTCAGATTCGACTGTGATTAGTCAATTTTTTCAGGCTTAAAGCACCTATTGTAGAGTAGAACTAAGAGACGCATATATGTGATTGAAACTATTATAGCGAACCTTAACACGGGATTCATTTATATCGATTTCCTCTTCTTTTAATATCTGTTTTAAAAATCTCTTTGCGAATTGCAGTTCTATATATATACTATATGACACTTTCGTAGTTCATCTATAGAGAAGAAAAAGACTGCCGCAAACGTTTGTTATTAATCCATTTACTTACTTAATTGTTCATGTCTCCCTCCTCCCCCACAGCTTGTGAGGGTTATAAGTTTTGATATAACGAGCGATTAATATTACAAAGAAGCTATAATCAAAGTGGCGAAGAGAATATTATTATGTTTATTTGTGTTATCTGGCGAGCGTTATGATCCAAAGTGATCGCCTGCGAGCCTTTATAATTTGAGAGATTATGCTCACGAGCTGTTTAAATTCTCAATTTAAGTTAATAAATATAATTACAGTAACACAGATTTAAGTTGCAGATGCTAAAAGATATGTGCGAGAATCGTTATATTGAGATGTCACTGCGAGATATATTGTTCAATGGGGGGGAGAGGGGGGAGAGTACTTAGCATGTAAGATTTTCCTCTTCAATTTCTTGTAATTTTAAGATGAAAACACTGAAAATTGTATTCTATATAAACTCTATTTTTCTACCTCGTATTTTTTTGTTTATAGAATGTATCGTTAACGAGGATGATACAGTGTTGATTCTTGTCGATTGAAGATTTTTATGAAAATAAATACAACAAACTTCTGGGATTATGGCCAAAGCTGTTATAGGTTCGTTCTTGTCTGCTTGAACTTTAGACATGTCACGCGAGCAAACACCGGCTTTCTTGTCGAAGAAAGAAGGATCTCAGATGCCTGTTTAACCTCGTCATATGAAAGTCGCCGCTTTTATTCGCCCGTATCATTGCTACGCTCCAACTCTCATTCCAGAAGCTGTCCCTCCCTCTTCCCGCACCGAGGTTACGTAATATTATTATATCAGGAAAGTATTTTTCCTTCGAAATAACCATTACTTAAAAGAAAAGAAATAAACTCAATAATTACTTTCCTTTGCGATACAAGTAACATTTTCCTCCGTACAATATCCGTGAATGATGAGCGATTTTCCACGACGTATGTAATGGCATATTCAAATGAGAAGCCGTTTTCGGCGTCACATTATCACATACGTCATACGCGGCAAAATCGTTAAGAGCGTCGAAGCAAAATTTCGACTCGGAAATATGACATGTTATGTATCGATCTTCTTTTTCTTTGCATGTGCGATTGAGTTAATAAAATAGAAATATATGCCGTATCTAAATGTATCTCATGTCTTTATACAACGATTTATATAACAATTTATAGCGTGTGTCGTAATTATACACGTCAGTGCGTGTCATGACGGAAGAACGGCGTTCCACGTTTGTACGTCGATTTTTCGCTGAGATACAGTTGTTTGAAAAATTAATAGTTTTTCCTAAACTTCTAAGCTGCGTACAGAATCTCGTCGCCGACAAATTCGTGCGCGTAGTACATTGCGTTCGATCGCCGACTTCAGTGCTTTAGAATAATAATATGCCAATGTAATTAAAAAAGAAAACACACAAAATTCACTGTATGCGACTATCGAAAACACATTACAAATAATTCCTCATTTATTATTAAATACTTTTATTTTGTGATGTCTTTCATAATAGGGCCAGTTTCCATTAAAAATCACAATTTTCAAGTTTTTTTTTTTTTTTTAGAAAACAACAGAAGTTAAGCAAATAAATTCGTTGACGCAAGTAAAAATTGCCAAACATAATGTATCAAATATTTTGGTAGCAATTATGAGAATAATTTTTTTAGCATAGGTTCCCTGCAACACCAGAACAACACAGACGTGCGCTACGCGCGCTATATTAAGCTAATTATTATGCAGAACAAAAATATCGGTTCGTGTAATAAAATAGGCATCACGCTAAATTAAATACACATAAAATTCTGTATTAGATTAAAAACTTATTTTTCCTTTCTTTATCCTTTCTATATTTCAATTTTTTATCTCCTTTAACGTACAAACTGATGAACTGTCAGAATTCACATAATGATTTGGCAGCCACGAATGATACGCGTGAAACAAGCCGCGGCAATACGACAGTCAATCAATATCGCGAAAAAGCAACAACGATAATTCCGTTGATTTCGAATATCGACTTTTCACGCCTTTTTCAGAGAGTGATTATAATGTTTCTGTGCATATGTTGAATTGCAAAGTGAGTATCGTGCATCCGCGATTATATCGTCGTTAAACGATTATTACAGTCGTTTAATTTTTCGATTATTTATAAAATAAATATGCGGTGCGTGGCGTTACGTGTCGAAAACGAGAATATCCCCATGGAATACTTTGATAACGAACACTATATCGCACGCTCTCTCTCTCTCTCTCTCTCTCTCTCTCTCTCTCTCTCTCTCTCTCTCTCTCTNCTCTCTCTCTCTCTCTCTCTCTCTCTCTCTCTCTCTCTCTCTCTCTCTCTCTGTGATAGTATCTTAACGATAATATAAAAATCTCATTAATATTACACGTTATATGCGTTAGACAAATATTTTATAGATAACGATACGTTTCGGATGACCAGATAACAATAGGTTCGTTGTAAAACAATGTGAGAATCGTTGAACGCGATTACATTTCAAGGGTGCGTATTGTCCGTTGAAAATGATTTTTGACGACATTTGATAATAATCCAGACTTTGTGCAAATGCACCGCAACATTTATTTATTTATTATTATTTATTATTATTAGTATTATTATTTTTGCGCTTTCTACTATTTTCAAGAGATTATTTTTCGAATTTTTCGAATTTAAAAGAGAGTTCATTCCCCGATGATCATCCTCGCAATTACGTGCAAATTATGCGATACGTCCCACTAAACGTGATTAAACAAGAACCATGTAAGCTGCGTCATTTCCGTGTTAGCAATAGTACAACAATTCTACGGCGATTATTCAGCTGTAATTATTGTAACGATCGGCGGGATTGGCGCGTATCGACTTAAAAATGCAAAATGTCGAATTCACGACGCTATCAAACGGTTATTGTCATAGAGATATAAGAATAGAGGGAACAAGCCTGTAAGTGGAAGTCATNGAATAAACAATCACAGCGCTCGACTAGAAAGAGACAGGATAGGATACTCGGCATCCATCTCTCTCTTGACCTCTATCACTTCCACTTACAGGTAGCATATATCCCTTGTTCCCTCTATTCTTATATCTCTATGGTTATTGTTGCCAACACGAGCATTCCGGCCGTCCGTAACGAAGCTATACAAAAAAACACATAACCGCACGCAAATTTCAACGGAAGATCCGCCATACCGTCTACCGCGTTCGATTCGCACATTTGTAAACATGTAGGTTGACAAATCGCACGGCAATAATTCTGTTTATTTAATAACAGCATTTTTCAAATAAATCTCGGACGCGCTCGTCGCAGAATAGCAAATTAAGAGGATGGCCGAGTTAAAAACTTGATGTACGGAACGCCGTTCTTTTTATCGCAAGTTTCGTTTTATTAGTAACGAATTAATGCATTAATGATAAAATGTAAAAGAGTTTTTAAAAGTGCGTACGCGCGTAAATGAATAATGACCCAGCAAGAAAGGAAATGAGAACATTTTAATTGCCATTTATTGTCTCAAAATAACCTCGGTGGTCGTATGTATACATGTAAAATTTCAACCAACTAATAATTAACCTTTAGAGGGCCGGGATTTGAGAGGGCATATCCGTCTTAGTAAAGTGGTAAAAAAGGTATCTTATATCATGGATTGACCATACACTAAGTATCGATCATGGGTAGCGCCAATATATTGGCTTTCCGGCCCTCTAAAAGTTATTTAAATCTTTACTACCTCGTCGGTGTTGCGACGCTTGTCGACATAACGATAAAAAGGGAGATGGAGAATCAGTTGGACCTATCAAAGCTGTGTTGATGCAGCTGTACACCCGCGCATGGTACAATATCAAAAGATACGAGAGCAAAATTAGAGGTTGCATACACACTGAGAGAAATTCCGCTAAAATTACAGTCGACTTCAACTGTATCTTCTTCTGGTTTTAACTCGATAAATAGTAGCAGTGACATGTATGTACGAAAGAAAAGTCATTCAGAGAGACGGCAAGTTTTTTATGCAAATTTTTTGTGCAAATTTTTTCTACCGTAACTAGTCGGTAAATATGCGACGATGCATTCCCCTCGGCAAACACCGCGACCGACCGACTATCCGTCGGTCGCAGAAACGGCGCTACGCGCCAACAAACAAATTCACACGCGAAGCACGCAACCGACACGTGTACACGTAAGCAACGACGTTTGTTGTTGTTGCCAAACATGTGTCGGAAAAACCGCGAAAACGCGATATAAAAAAGCCGCGTAACTAGAGACAACGTGTGTCTCTCCGCCGTACCTCACCGGAGGTACCACCGACCGCCACGACCACCGCCGGCTGCACGTTGGCTAGGCTCGCCCGGCCGACTCCACCGTTCCTGTAAGAAGGCACGATACCGCGTGTCCTCCGCTCCGGAAGTCGACCGACGCGGGCACTCCGCGTGCGGCAACCACCGCGTACCGCGACGTCGAGTCGAGCATTCCGCCGTTGCACTCCGATGCGAGACCGTCAAATTTAAAGCCGCGAAACATCAATACGCCGAGACGCTAATACCGCGCCCGCTCTCCGCTGACACCGCGGGATCCTCGCAGCGAGCGACA